GAGCGGTTCCTTCGTGTCCGCTGTTATCGGGGCCATCCGAAATGCGGCGACGCATCCTTTTGCAACGAAAAATACGGACAAAAAGTCAGAGTTGGCGAAACAAATGTACAAAGGTAACGGACATCATTCTGGTTATATAAATTTCAGTATTAAGAGCGTGGACGGAAGTGTCTGATTGAAATGGTGTTATTTACTGTTGTTTCGCCAGAATTAAGCATGGAGTCCTCGTCGGACCTGCTCGATTTCGAAACAGAACCGTGCCTGATGATGGAAAGCGTATTGGAGGATGTTCCTTTGCCCGATACTTACTCGCACAACATGGTGTCGAGTAGCGACTCATTGCGCAGAGCTTTGAGCTTTCCCGAGACGGTGGACGAGAGTAATCTTAAAAAGACTCGCGCCAACGACGAGTGTTCTAGCCTCACTAACCTCACACAAGCGATTTTGCATCGTCGTAAGGTATACAGATGAAAAAAAAGCAAAGAAAATCATCGGAGTATAGATGATTAGTGGGGATGTAATATATTATTTATATGTATATATATATATATATTATATGAATAACAATTTTATTGGACACACAGGTTGAGAACGAAGAAGATGACGATTGTGATTCGATCAGCGAATCTGATACCGGTACCAATGACGGTCCGCTGGCTTCGGATTACTGTCCCGCGGTCGGTCTGGTCGATCAAGTGATCGACGTAGATAACCTTCTTACGAAACTGCTAAAAGTACTACGAATAATTCAGCTCGATAACGATACTTGTATACAGGAGTTGAAAGAGGAGAAGTATGCTCACATTTCATTGTCGTGGATCTAGTGTTTTCTTCTTTTTTTTTTTTTTTAATGGTTATCGAATACTGTGCACGTTTCATGATGATTTTACAGATCGGAATTAGAAACGAAGTTGGAGGTAACGGTGACGGAATTAGAGGAGATGCGTAAGATAGTGGACAACCTTCATCAGTCCGAGGAGATACTAAGCAATTCGTCGGACAGACGGCGTAGCGTGATGGAGAATTGTCGTCTGCTGATCAAAGAGGTAATAGCCGGTGATATTACCGACACATATCTGTAAACATGCTTCTGGTGCCTGTTCTCGAAATCCGTTTATTTTAATCGAGCAAATTGACTTTGTTTGAAAAAAAAAAAAAACAAAAAAAAGATGTCAAATGGAATAATTCCTCTGTAGGCGGGTAAGGAGGAATTAAAATTTCACGAGCCCGCAGTTGCTAATAATAGCGGTCCCGGAGAAGCGACAAACTGCGAAGATCTCAACGCGAACGCAGCCGCTCAACTTCCTTCCTAGAACGTATATTGTCTTCTCTATTAAGTAATGTTACTGTTTCTTTGACGATATGTAAATCGCTGACAAGCAGCCCCCTCGGTATCGTTTGCACAACCCTTCTGTAACGAATTGTTTGATAGAGAAAGAGAGCGTGAGAGAGAGAGAGAAAAGAGAGAGTGCGAGTGCTTATGGCGCCGCGACGATATGCAAACTTTGCTTCTCGGCGAATGATGCCATGGTGATTAGGTAAATTATGATATAAGTCCACGAACTAATAGGCATTTTTACGTGTATCGAAAAGTCATGTACAGCTTTCCTCGTCTCGTCAACACAGTCAATATTCTCGTGCGCTTTTAGTATTTTATCCTCGAGGTGAATTTCCGTATAACAGTGAATCCTTTCGTATAATTTCAACGTTGAATCGTGGCCCATAATCGCGATCATTAGTCGCGGTTCCAGTTGGCTATCGTTCAGACATTTGACGCATACCTTCGAATCATTATCGTTTCGCCTAGCATAATTTATGTATTAAGGGTTAGTTGTTCCAACATTAGAATTAATTGCGGTTGCTTCGAGCATAATAGACGAATCAAGGAATACTTAATTCGTGGCTAACGAATGAATTTCTCATGCCCACCGAGAGAGAAAGAGAGAGAGAGAGAGAGAGAGAGAGAGAGAGAGTAGAGAGAGAGAGAGAGAGAGAGAGAGAGAGAGAGAGAGAGAGATAGTGGCACTCGATTGTGCTATAATGATGAACATTTTCTCAATGAGTGTTAATTCCTCTGTATTAAGGAAACGGATGCATAGGTTTTAATGTACCTTAAAGGATTCCATTCAGCTTTACTTCCTTGTTCGAATATTTAAAACATAACAAAAAAAAGGGAAAAAAACACTTTTAATGTGAGATACAGGGTACATTAGTTTTACGGTTCAACATAGCATCGTGAAGATTGGCGTTAATAATATTGACCACCGGGAATCAGTCGAACGAAACGAATTGTAGTTGTTCGTAATGTCGTTTGATCCATTCTTTGTCGATAGTTGAGATAACCTTACTATTTTAAAACGATTATAAGGACAATTTTCTTTTGAAAAAAAATGTTTTAATAAGAATAGCCGCAAATTACTCCTGTGAGTGTCAGTGTAAAGATAAAAAGAGAACACGTTACACAGAGCTACTTTCTATTTTAAGGGTGAGATATATTTCAAAAACATATTCTTGTACACGCTTCCATGATTCACAATTGATCCGTCGAGTACGTTCAGAACGTTGTACATATATAAGTGACCATTGTGAAACTTATTTTTATTATTCTGATGCGTTTTTTTTTTTTAAAAACGATTTTTTTCTTTTGAAGTACAAGTTACTTACTATATGTATAAACTATATCTTGTAAAGTCCGTGTGAAAGTGATGATCGTTTTCTTTCTCTCCTTATTTTTTAAAATCGAATAAACGATTCCACCCACATGATGTAAATTCTGAGGAACATAGTCCTAAGCATTTTTTATACAAAGTATTGTGATGATATACCAAAAAGAACTCATAAATAATGTATTTTAATTTTTAATCAAATAAATTTCGTTTCGATAAGAATATATATGTGGATTGTATACACTGTACTTTCGAGTACATCGACGAGCAGACTCAGCTTCTAGGGGAAAGGGCCTTCTTGAAATATTTGAAAGAACCACTTCACCAGGTTGGACAAATGTAATATAATCTGAAGTATCTACTGATGCGGAAAGGGTGTTACATGTTTAATTAAGGTAATGATGAATGTAATGAGTCTTATGTCCTATAGATTCTGCAGAAGTCTTCATTCCTGATGTTGAAATCGACGTAAGAACGGGATCAATAAATCCGTTAAACGTGAACCGCCCCTAAAATAAAGAATTTCGTTAGTTAGTTGCAAGCATATTACTAATATATCTAGAACACCAGTACAGGTGAAGGTCAATGACACTAAACAAAGAAATTACTGCAGAGAATCTAACAAGCACTGCAGCAGCGTCTCTGCATACTAATAACGTCACTACGAGAAGCAAATCAATAACGATAACACGTAACTTTCAAAGACAATTACTCAAATTTCATCATGCAAATACATACTAATTAAACGCAAGGATAAATTATTCTTTTTCATCGGTCACGAATCGTTCGATGTTATTTGAATAATTGTAAACGGAAATACCTGTTCGTTGACTTGGGCGCCGGTGTAGGTGGATCCTCCGCTTCCGGTTTACTCACGGTCGGCTTGGACTCAGGGAGTATCGGTAAGATAGGCTTGTTAGCGGCGGCAGCGTTCGCTAGGAGCAGCACCTCGGCAGGGGCGAACACGACCACCAGTCCGTCCAAACCGACACGGTAATTTTCGCTCCCGTTTTGACGTTGATCGTAATGATCGACCTCCGCGCTCAACTCCAACGGTTTAGACGTTGCTGGATTTGCGATCGAAGACTCGTTCGCGACCGATAAACACTGAACTCTATACGAGACAAGCGCGACGAGAAACAGCACCGTTTTGAAGATCCCCATGTTGATCGATAACATCGATACGCGTGTCTCAATATGGGCGACACTGATGTAACGGGGTTCAAGATGTATCGACTAACGATCGACGCTCTTTTCGATGTCTCTTCCGTTTCGTAAAAGCACGACAAAGCCAAGATTCTCGTTGTCACAGACGAGATTCAACAAACGAAAGGACCTCTGTGTGTATAGTTGGCTCTCGAAAAAGAAAACGATGCCTGTGGCGAGCAAAGAACGTCTTGACGACCCGGAGGATGAGCGAGGTGTGACGACGTCTTCTGCCGACCGGCCATCCCGGTCCCCACCTGGCATGGAAACAGATCGTCAGGCAAGTTCAAGAACCTATGGGCCACTGTGTGTACGTTCCTCGTGCATACATACCCGACTGGAACGTAATCTCGGCTCGGATTCGATTTTTCTGCCAACGAGACAATTAGTATCGTATTATTGCGTGAAATATAGCGAGAAACGAATGACTTCGATAAGATCCTTCGTTTATGGCGCATTTACCGACAGTAGGAGGATTCTATTCTACACGAAAGGGGTGGATCATCACGCGCCTGGTCACAGACTCTTGTTTATAAGCAGGTGTGACTGTACGAGGGAGTATTTTTGAGCTCGATGAAGAATACAGATGACGGAAGACTTATTAGGTTAGAAAACTTCAAATACATACACTGTACCTAAATATAGTGTTCCTTACCGAGTAGTACAACAGAGGAGATTATTCCGTTCGTGTCGACTCTACAGATAATCACGATCGTTCGTACAGGTGGGAATAACGAACCACCATGGTGTTTGGTCTGACGTCAAAAGTACTATTTAGCAAAATTTTTTAGCATTCATTCAACCCTCTCTCTAACCGTGTTTTCAGGGCTCAATTAAGTCGTGTAAGTTACTATTTCAGGTACGATTTAAAAAAAATGAAGAATACGACAAAGGTGGTCGGTTTACCGGCAAAGTACACACACACACGATCGCATGTGCACCAGGTTAGGGACGTGCGTAGTATATCGGTGTGCATGCGGGCGCTGTACCCGCACGTGAACAGGACCGATTTGTAAAGAGCAATGGCCTCGGGTGGCCCCACCGAGTTCATTTCACCGTTCCTCTGTCTCACAGCAGTCGCCTATTACCGTACCCTTGCCCTTGCTCTCACATTTCCACCACGGTTGAACTTCGCAGATGATCGACTTCCTGGTTCACCTCGGACGGGACCATTGAAAATCGTAATTCGTCGAACACGTTCGATCTGGGCCCGAACGGATTACGGTAAATGGATGATAATTCAAGTGTTCTATATTCGTATATTAAATCATCTTCGCACGTTCGTGAATTTCGTTTAAATTGAAAAATAATCTCGTCGTCGATCAATCGATTCCGATGAAAACAGAGATCTGTGGTGGGTCCAGGAAATGTTAGGTTATACACATGTTAACTATTTAGGTGCATCTAAACGACGTATCAGAGGTACTACTGAATATCAAATTTAATATGGATTTCTTATTGAATCAAAAGTCTGTATTGTTACAGTAATACTCTTTCTCAAACTCCATCGCATTCCACCATTTTTGAAAAAAATAAATCGACGAACAGAGATGTTTTGACTTTGAACTTTTACTATTTCGTGTCGAGAAGAAAATAATGGATTACAGTTGATGGTTCTTAAAATTTTTCATTTATTTCTGATAATCTCATTCAATACAAATGCGTGACATATAATATAAATAATAAAAGTATAAAAATGAGATTGTTCTTAAGTTACATGGGAGTGCGGATACTGTTCGCGCGGGAATTTCTATCGGTCTTCACGCACTTTCGCGAGTACGACTACAATTTCAAGAGCACCATTGTAGAGCTTGCGACTACGGGGGGTATACATATCACAATAAATATACAGATACCTTCTGACCGTTACCAAATGAAAATGGACTACTGGATACGAGCTACAAAAATATTCATCACGGTTCGGCAAGTGGTATAATAGAATCGAAACAGTGCGGCAAAAGAAATATATATTTAAATTCCGATGTTTTTCAATAAAAATCTTTGTCATTCTGACAGATACCCGACTTGTCTCTGTATCTACCTGGTCCACAATTTTCGATGCCACCACCCAGCAGGACCAGTTCGTCGGCTTTATTGCCCAGTTCGTTTCGCTCCTCGGACACCGTGGACAAATTCTCCTGTTCCTTCTTGGACAACTGTTTCTTCAACGTTATCCCGGGTCTTGTCGCTTTGGAGACTTCTTTCACCGTGAGATCATCAGCCTGGGCTAGATTCTCCACGGTCGAGTCCACGTGTACCGTCGTTCTGCTTACCTCGGTTGGACCATCGGCGAGCCTACCGCGGCTTTTCTGGTTCCCCCAAAGGCTCTTCGATTTTTTTTCTACTCTTTTACCGTCTATAGACACCTGCGGGGCTGGACCATCTTTGAGATTCTTCAACGGTGATCCTGTCTCGACGTTATTGACACTGGAAACCTCCACGGTACCAGCCTCCTTCAATTTCTCCGTGGGTTTGTTCCTTGCCACGGCGTCGTCCTTCTCTATACGAAAGATTTCCACATGGTAAGGCTCTTTACCCGATTCCTCGTCCTCTGTTTCATAGATCGTCGCCTCCAATGGTTTCTCCGCCGACTGGAGTGGCTTCGACGCCGCCTGCCTGAACCCAATACGGTTCAGATGGTTCGCCGCCTGTTCCGCTAATAAATTCATCAGCTTCCCGTCGAATGTATGGCTAATGATGAACATAATGTTGTCCAATTGCGCGTGAACGTTCAGATCACCGGCTTGCTGTTGATTGTAGGTGGCTGGCGCGGCGACGGTACGGACGACGAATAATCCGGATAGAATGCCTGTGACGTAAAGACACGAGTTTTGACCAAGCATGTAATCGCGTCAGGATCATCGAGTTCGTGATATGGACGAGATGTCATTTGTCGAAAGACGAGTCAACGAGGGAGGACGGGGGATTAACCGTTACCAGAAAAGGAAATATATACACATATAGAGTTTCGTCTCGTAAGTCGTCGTGAATAAGTTCGATGATCCAAAACGAAGGTCACTTTAATCGAGACGAATGAATTACTGTTAAGAAAAGCCGAAAGCAACGTCGGAACGTTAAAACAGATTTCCATATGTATTAGGGGAAAAAATAAAGGACACCGAGTTTTCGAAGAACGATCTGGATCGGGTCTCACCTGGTAGCAAGAGGAGACAAGCTAAGGACACCATTTTCCCCGGATGCAGCTCCTCCGTAATCAGCTAGGATCGGCTGAGCTGAACGAAGTCTGATCCTCGACTGCGGGAGATCCGTCGTCGTCGTCCGGTTCCTTGGCAGCATCGGCACGCCACGTATATAGATCGAGGGAGCATCACTGCTGGAGAGGGTAACAAGGCTCCCCGGCGATCGACGATCGGCTTTGAACGTTTTAAACCAGAACCATCCACCAAGAAGACGGGTTACGTAATTATCCCGATATTTTTATCCAGTATCTCGAATATATGAACACAAGCCGGGGATCCCGTCTGGCGGAGCTGCTCAGGATCCTTATACTTACCGATGTTATTCCCTCGATTCGCAAAATCCTCGTTTGCATTCGTTCGTGCACATTTTTACGAACATTGATTAATCGTCGTTTGGCCCTTTTAAAATTAGAGGGTTAAGAAAGAAAGCAAATGTCTGAACGTATAAACACGTAAATCTTTTATTGCACCTGTTTTACAAATCTTAGGACACGTTGCTCCCTATCTTATTTATAATGATGATGATAATGGCGGGATTAAATGTAACGATATGAGCAAGGAGAAATACCCTACGGGATGATACAATCGTACTCATAATTTGACTTGTGTGAACGAGGAACATGAATTCGTATTTTTACGTTGCACCGTATGAGGTTCCTATCGAATATTCGCGGCACGTTTCTGTTCGACAGCGTCCGATGGACGTCCTATTGCGCCAGATTCTTCGTGGAGCGCGTCAGACCGTCCAGGAATTTCGGCCCGAGACCCATTGCAATACTGTGAAACGGAGAAGAATAAAATTCTAGGAACAGCTGGTTGTCGTAGAGGAAGTGGTCTAACTATGGGCTAGCACTTTTACTTCAGGACTTATTGTCAAGCTTGTCGAAGATTTTTAAGATGTAGATATATCTAAAACATGCTTTATGATAGGGAGTTAAAATAAGCTGATTTTGTTTTTGGAGCTGTCATTTCGCAATTATTCCTGCTACGGTGAAGTACCTAACATAACTTTCAATTAACCTATATTTAGAGTTTAGCCTGTAGTTGGATCACACCCTCTAGGCACCGTTTTTAATGGGACTTGGCTTCTTTATGTTTATATGTCCGATAAAATCTGTTAAATATGCTGTCGATAAATGCTGTCAGAAAAGGCGAATGGAACTTATTCAATAATTGGTTCAGCCTGACACTCACGGAATCAATGACAATCGTCGTTGGCTCAGTCGACGACAACGACCCTTTCCATCCGGTATGTATCCAGTTCTGCACCGTTTCACGATCGATTTAGTCGAGTTCCCCGCAGAAGATAATACCATGTTCTCTTGTCCATCGTTACCCTTCACGGATGCATTCCTAGTGTCGACGTTCTCGTTTGTGGAATCTTCTGTTTTTTCAGTTGACGACACGTCTGGTTCCTCGGTGTCCACTGTCACGGTGACGTTCGTGTCCCCAACGATGAAACTTACAATCGAAGATTCGCTGGACGACGAAACGGTCGCATCCGTGGTATCGGACTCGACGGTGGTGATTTCCGAAACCGGTGAAGCTGTATCCAAAGTTGTCGGTGGTTCGGTGTGTATCGGGGCTACGGTTGGTTTTTGGCTGGGTTTCACCGTGAAATCAGCGTAATCGTAAATGTAATCATACTCCTGTAACGAAGAGTTACCAAAACATCTTACTGAAACGATTTTCTGTATTTTAGGGCGACTGGAAATAGTGGCGATTCGAAATTCGGAAGAACCCAAAGGCAAACGGTACAGCGACCACCCCCCCCCCCTGACAACCGGAACCCATAAAACACACGGGCGACCGTTGTGCTACTCGAGAAAGAAGATAAAAGACAAACGAACGACGATAATAATAGTTTTCGTTATCGCGTTATCAGCCTCTTACCAGGCTTGGTTTATCGATCGCAACGTGAACCGTCGACGGGGCCTTAGTCGTTACCGTGTAATCGTCGAGCGACTCCTTGTCCATCACCGCGACGATCTGCACGTTCTTCAAGTGGATCTGAACGTTCAGTTGACCGTGCTGACGTTGATCGTAGGTAGCCGGTAAAGAGTGTCCGGTCGATGCGTGATAAATCAACACCAGGAGGAGTAGGAGGCCGTGTAGCGGCAACATGATGCGAACAGGGACCGGACACTTTTCTCCTTTCTCCCGGAAAAATTGCACGAGGATCGTCGTCGACGGGAAACAGACTGACCAGCCGGATAGGTGACGCGCCGACGATGGTCTTCCTTGATATAGTGGTCAGTACGGCCGGGAAACCGGTATTCTTTCGTCGTTGAACGGTCACGAGAGGCTCAGTGCCCGGACATTGGCCCCTTCGGGATATGTACACGGTGAACGCCGCGTGTGTACATACGTACACCGTTCGTAATGCCCGGTACGATTCCGATTTGAATGTTGGAACACGATCCTGACGCGCGAGGGCAATTCGGATGAACCAGAAGAGAATGATTGATCGGTGTGTTGCTTCATCCTTGATCTAACTGTATGTTGACAGGCTGCCGATGTTCAGGAATCGTGTGTAGCATCATCGTTTAAGACGGTGCCTAGGGCTTCTCTAAATGTATTTGATCGCCTCGGTGACCGATGATATCAACGGGTTCATAATATATTACGCGTGGGACTACGGATATGATTGATGTAACGTGTGAAAGGAATTCACAGGCGCTTGAAAGCACGAAGAAAAAATCGATATTGCAAGAGGATAATGATCCTAGGCGCCGGAGCCGTTGCTGTAGGAAGTGTAAAACCGGAAATGTTATCCAGGTATTAGACTTATTTTCACAATCACCTGACGTGAACCCCATTGGAAATGTTTGGGGATATATGAAATTAAAGCTTCGAGAAGAAAGTATATATAGAATTTAAAGTAACTATCTCTATATCTGATGATTAATGAAATATATACGTAGAGTTACATTTAGATTCATGATAAACAGTATTTGATTAGCTGCTCACGAATGCAACGAAAATAAAATCAGCATGATATAAAAGGTACAATAGGGCACGACATTTTCGATCCGCCATATACAACAATTTGTTTACATATAATAGAAAGAAAAATATTTTTGAATTGAATAAATTAATGGCGCGTAAATCTGAAACCGCGTGAATCCGAGTCGTTAACTGTCATATTCGGCACGATGTAAATTGATGGACATCGTGAGACTGGTGCAGACAGAATTGACGCGGAATTAAACCTGTTCGAAATAGTAACGAGACACGAACACGGGATGCGCTGCGCCTGTAGAGATTCCTCCGAGATGATGATTACGAAATCTCTTAGAATAATCGTGTTTGACGAAGACAGTAATCTTCCCGCAAACCGCTGACATATCTATGATTTCAGCAATAGAAACGATCGATTACGCAAACTTGGCGTCTCCGATGTTTTGACGTGAGATTTTTATCGTTCTGTACCATTGAGGGAGGAACGAAAGAGAAAAAAAAAACAGAGGAAAAATCTCGCGGATGAAGCGGTCCCGTGTCTTGAGTGTCGATGCAACGATCCCCCGAACAAGAACGGGCGATGACATTAATGATGGCTCGGTGAAATGTCATGTGCCGTGTGTGCGCGCGATCGAGGAAGTTCACTGTTTCGTTTTCCTAATTCAGTGCTTGGTACCGTGGCCGAAAGGAACCCACGCATAATTTTCGCCTGGCGCAGCAACGGATTGGCGTCAGCGTTTGAAACATAACTTTTTATGTCCGATCATTGCATCGCGTCGCTTAACATGTTTCCTTCTGGCGTGAACAATGTTTCCATTTTTTAAGAAGTCTGGTAAATATCCATTCCTTGCTTAGTATCGCCTCATTGATAGGATTCACGTAAGAGGCATTTTTGTTGATCGCATCGTACTCTAACCTGTATGCGAAAATATTTATCTGTCTCTGTCTCTCTCTCTCTATCTCTCTATCTCTTTCTCCGCTGTCATTCTAAGTTTCCATGTTTTTGAATATCGTCCTCGTAAGAAGGATTGATACGATCGTTGAATGTCGAAGGACTGACAGAGTTTCTGGTTTCGGATGATTTGTTTCGTGTAATTAGCCTACAAAATAATTGTTTTTCGTTGCAGGGCAACGAGATAGGCCCGGATCTTTGCAAACATCACCCACAAAATCGACGAGTTCTGGGACATTATTCGGAGATGTATTTAATGGAGATACGTCCGTTCAAATACCAACAGGTGTACTGTGCAGCCTTGAGGAGGAAGAGGAAGATGAAATGTTCAATAAGGAAGCTAAAGACACGTGTTCCTTCAGCTCGCAGCTCTCTAAAACGCTTCCACAGATCCTCACTGACAAAAGTGCTCTTGGTTATTTCATTCAGTTCATGGAGACAAGGAACTGTATAGCACTCATTAAGTTCTGGCTGGAAGTGGAATGCTTATGCAGTTCATTTCATGTACAAGTGACTAAGGAGAAGAATGTTTGTTCAACGAATTATACAGAGAATACTAATAGAACTTCCAGTTCGGTGGATAAAAATAAGAATTTTCATTGTGAAGTGACTCGGAGTAATGATAATGAAATTGATAATACATTGTTCAATGAGTATGTAAATAGTAATGATAGAAAATCAAATTGCAACAATATGCCAAAGACTAGTCAAGCTGTAAGCAGAACAGGACAATCAAATTATAATTGCAAGAGACGGGACATGACAAGGCAGGATGCATTACGAATTTATAAAAAATATGTTGCTAAGGGTACTTTGGGCATAAATCAAATTCCAGAGGATGTAAAGATAGCCATGGAGAAAGCTGTTACTTGTGAAAACATTGAGCCTATGTTGCAGTGCCTGACAGCTGTTCAAGAAATTGTATACAATATATTAGAAAATGAGTGAGTATAAGTAGTGCATATAAATATTCACAAAACCACTAAAATTTATGTAAATTTGAATACAATCACTTTCAGACACATTAATGACTTCTTGAGAAGTGAATTTAACTGCAACCATCAGATTGATGTTCTTACTAGCGGCACTGTGCAGTTAACAGATATATTGTACAATGAAACTGCATTCTTCTATTTTATGGAGGTAGTGTTTTTGTATGCATGTTTATTTGTATCTGATGTCTTCATTAATCTGATAACATTCTAGTTCATGGAACTCGAGAATAAACGAGAACTGTTAGATTTTTGGATGTCTGCTATCAATTATAAACAAAACTTGTTGGAAAAGAAGGACGCTGCAGATCCAGAGGAAGCCCAAACCGATGCCCTGATCATTTATGACAAGTATTTTAGTTTACAAGCGACGATGCCGATTGGCTTCAGTGATAAAATTCGCTTTCAAGTGGAACAAAATATTTGTCATGAAGACGGGGAGGGACCACGACCAGACTGTTTTGATAAGCCCTGTAAAATTGTATATAAGTTTCTGAATAAGGTACAAGTCAGGCATGCAGTAAAGAAAGATTAATAAAATACTGATAAAGCTTAATACGCCATGTTGAGATAACACTGTACTTTTTCCAGCATTATCTACCCACCTTCTTATCATCACAGTTATATTACAAATACTTATCAGAGTTGATCAATACCATACAGAGCAGTCCGTGCTCAAGTTTGCATCCTAGGATAAAAAGAGCAGGTTTGCATATCTTTATTATACAAGCTATATTTATCTACATTCTGATAATTAGATATCGGATGCTCATTTATTCCATTCACATGTGTAGCTCAGTGATAAAAATAGAACGAACTAACAAGTCTTTCTGATAATTTCAGGTTCGGATTGTAGTAGCGAAGTGAGTTCCGTTAGTATTAATATGCAAAGTACCCTGCAGGCAGGGAATGAGGGAAGATCTGTCAACAGTAAAAGAACAATCAGTGGTGGTATGAATATTGATACCAGACAACTTTATGATCCAGATTCCTTGTGGAAACGTAACAAATATAGGTAATTATTATACTAAAATCTCGTTTAATAATCATTATATTCGATATCGTATGTATTTTCCAGTTTAAGCGTCGGTTATGTTGATGACTTAGGAAGGTTTATCACCGAAATAGAACCAGATCCTAAAAAAAAAAGTGGTAAGTTGTTTAAGACAATCGTCCCGAATACTGGAATTAAAATAACGATAGATGAAATAATTTTAGAATCTCGATTAACACGTGCTGTGAAAAGACTTGTAAATATGGAGCAAGATAAGGTGAGTTTCGTGATACATTAGCAGTGTGTAACAAAAACCTGTAGTATTTACATTTTTATGTTTGTGGTACTATTTCTTCCAGTCATATATATTAATTTGAATTGTAAGTTGAAACATAAGTAAACAGTTACTGATTGCCTTAATAGTTATAATAAACCCTATTTTGTAGAAGTACCACTAACTGCGTGAAATTGTTGAATATTTGATTTGAAACTATAACGAATCAATTTAATTAGGCTAAAGAAGAATTAGCGTGGAAGATTGCTGAGATGATCGTCCGAGAAATAACATCATTGACTCTAGGAACATCGAATTTTTCATCTTGATGGCAAACACTGCGTTACGACCATATCGATTCCTTTCTTCCTATAATATACATCGTACTTTAAATGCTTGAAGGTAAATATTACTTTTAATATATGTTTTCAATTGCAAATACTTTACCAAAGTGCCAAATCGAAACTAATGATATTTTATTACCTTTTAAGAACAAAAACTCGTAAGACACACGCGCATTCGTGTTCGTCAATTTTCAAAATTTTTATTGCCAATATTTTTTGCATATGTTATATTTTGCTAACAGTCTATGCATTTAAAGTTGAGTGTATTATAAGATTACCATTGTGATCAAGGTAGAATTAATAAGTAAAGATATATAAATTTTTTTACATTTAAGAAAGTTACAGTGCCGCATAATAAACTATTAAATTCATCGTTCGATTTTCTTCATAATCATAAGAAATATTTCACGAATTCGTGGATACAGTAATTGTAATATTACTATGACTATTACTTTATGTTCTCAAATTTATTTAACACATACTGGCGATTTATACAAACTAAAACGATAATTTTCATACATTCTTTATACTTCCATGAGATTATAAAAGTATGCGTTTCTCTTCTAAGATATTTACTGTTTTTTTTAAAGATGATGTTAGGACGGACAGAGCATATTGCTTTGTAATCGGTAAATCGTGGTAATATTTTAATTGTTTGACTGCCAAGTACTTTTGTAGTTTAGTAAGTTCTATGTTTTGTCTTTTAATGTTCTCAATGAGATATAATGTGTCTCGTTAAAAGAAACAAATACCTTACTTTCGACGCATAAACAAATAACAATGCGTAGAACATATCGCGAAGAGATGTGATTCATATACGGTATACGTGCCTCAAATTTCAATGAGCGAAGTGCACTTTAGATTATGAACAATTTAGCGTTTAACGAAAACATGAATGTTTATAATTTTATTTTGTTCAGTTTGCTCGAGTTGTCTGTAAGACTTATTAACCCCCTAAGCCACACCGAGACTACAACCCCAAAGAATGTAGTAGAATAACCATATGGCCCAGAGGGGCCTTTTCTTTGAGGTACCGTTTATACCAGATATGAACTTGGCAGTATTTACTCTGATTTATTATACATAGAACATGTAAATGATGTAAAAAGAAGTGTGAACATTAATTTTGTTACTGTATAGTAACAGAATCGTTATGTTAGTCTTATATGTATAGATAGTAGGTAAACGAGCTTAGCTGACACAAAGGTTATTTTGTCAAAATTGAATCTATTTTTAAAAAATGACGTCACAAAGGAAACAAATAACATTACTCTAATGAAATGATTTAGATTTAAATATGTAAAGTATGAATGCAATAGGAAACTAATGTTAAAAAGTTAGTCAATAATGTTCGGTGGTGCAGATTTTCGGTTTCCTCTTGCGCGAAAGTAGAAGATCGGTAGTTATTAGGCTGAATTACAAGGAACTTTTTTTATAGTTTGATTTAAATTTAAAGGGTATATCAATTTATCGTATATTCCCTGGAATTGTTAAATATGACCTTCCCAAGAGCCAAACTGACCAATTCGACTTTCAGCAAGCTTCTGAATTTTTTACTTGTTACATATTCGTTTTGTTTGGGCGTTAATCAGCTTGCCCGGAATATTGCTCGGAGAATGCCGTCTATAACTGTGCTTCTTCAAGGACCACCCTTTCGGGACTATTAATTGAGTCACTGATAATTTAAAATTAACTGTAGTTAACGTAAAATAAAGATTAATACTAGCTGGTCGAGTAATACAATGTCTAAGAACTGTATAATGTGTCTGCACGATTTGTCGGTACCGGTCGTGAGTTAATTCTGACTGTCGATTCGTAAAGTCAGGACACTGGCCTAGCCTCCCTTCCATTTCGCTCTAGGCACGTTTTTCCCGGAGGGGATAACACAGTGCCTTGCTTTGTCTTTTCGTTGCGAGAACTTTCCGGGGTCAATCGCCGAACGTACAAAGATCGTTGCGTGATCCAGGAAGTCTCCCAATCTCTAACACATTTCTAAGCATTTTACATTGTAATAAAAACTATGTATTGCAAATAATGTACTATACAATTTTTATTCGTTCGTCAAGTAAAATACTTTTACCATGCATTACTATTTATTGCATGTACTTGATCAGATTGACATTTGAGAGGGTCATATAATAATAATTGAAATTAGAAATTTTAATTATTTATTAAACGTTCGCCACACGTGTCGAAAATTGCTTGTGATTCTACTCAGTAGTTATAATTTAGCAAGTCTACACAGTATTTTGTCAATTTTTACACGTGAAATCTTTTCCATGCAGTAAACAATTTTCATTATGCTTCACATTCAGGATTAAGTCGTCTTCGTGTTTATATAAAACTTTTGGTGCTAATATTTAGAGAACTCGTTGCCTGAAAAATAATCAGTCTTGGCATTCTATGTAAAACAAAATGTACACAATATGTCCCTAGGAATGCGAATATCTTCGATCGTCTATTAATAGTGATGTATATAAGAATTTTTTTATTAAAAGGCAGAGGGATATTGTACGAATAAAAATCTGTTAGACAAACACAAAAATGCGAGTAACATCTGTTTCAAGATTCTATGTGCACTATTTTCTGAAGTGTACAGGGTTCTTTATAGGTGCTCTTTATTAATTGTAACAAAGTGAGGATCGAAACGATCAATTTTTAAACAGATGTTTATGGATGTGTGTATACATATGTATATGCAACTCTTGCAAATCTGAATGCTTCGCACTGAATAGTTTATAATTTATTAACAGAAACGTCGCAGCCTAAGATATATTAGATGTACAAAGCAAAAGTTATACCGATTAAATACTAGTATTGTACATACGTGTTTTCTTATCACATGTAGAAAATAAAAACTCTTCTATGTAATTAACAAGTAACAAACGTGCTTGCCGAAGGAAAACTCCTCTGGTTAGAAAGCAGACAAAAAATACTTTTTTTCGATAAAGCTTGTTATCGAGTACCAATCTCACATGGTATCCATTTTAGAATTAAAATTTTTATTAACTATTAATATTTCCTATACTTATAAAATCACCTAAAAACAATTCGTTGTATGTACAGTTTCTATATATACAGTGTCTCAGGAATTTTCGATCGAACTATGCTGTACATACAATAACCTCAGTTCCTTCGCAATACAACATACGAAGTTGACGATCTTTCCATATTCTGTTCACGCGGGTCATCTTTGCAGTATGATAGTATTAGCTATATTACTTTTGTGTTATTTCAAAATACTTTCTCTCTTATTTCTATTAGTATAACATTATCACTACAATCTCGTTAGAAAATCGTGAGACACTGTGCATAAATGTTTGACCGTGCTGTCGACAAATGTGGTCATATAGCAAGCGAATTACTGAGCACATTACAAAAATATAGTTCCCTCTAAAAATTGTATATAAGACAGTCAGGAAATTCAGATTATCACAGCTTTCAAAACGAAGAAGAACCATTTATACTCGTATGAGGAGGACACCCATATTTAGAATCCAACAATGGTGACGATTCGGTTAACCGTATACCCGTGTCCTCTTTCGCAATTTGGCTTATATTGAAGTTGCCCAATTTCTGACAGCATTCTAATCGAAACTTTTCTCTTTTGTCCCATCTTTTGTACACGAGAGCGTTGAAAAACGCTTGGAGTGGATTCGTAACAGCCTATCGATTAAACATTTCAATTAAGTAAGCCCGTCATACTAATACCGATAAACCGTAAGATATACATACCATTATGTACCAAAGAATAATAATAGCCTTAATTGGCAGTTGGAACCACAAAGTCCATAGTAAGATTCCATTGATCAAATTTGGCAACCAGCACACGTAATACACTACGTTCGTCAACGCGAACTTGAACCTTATTGTTTGCACCAATTTTCTTTCTCTGCCTGTCATCTGAGCAAGACTGCAGGTGACAGCAGTTTGAAGGTCTCGCGTCGACGCGAAATACAGTACTGGATTGACAATCATAACCACAGCTAATAATACATAGGTAGCGCAATAGTTTGGCAGAATACGTAGTATGGCAGTGGATAATGATGTTAAATTGTGGCAGCTGAAAAAGGATAATTACAAATACCATCCATAGCGACAATACTGTTAATTTCATTAGGGACTAACTTTGCATCTGGTATATATAAAATTGTCAAACCAAATGTGGTAAGAATTGCTGGACATATCCATGCAAATGCATGGTAACAAGTAGGATGTCCAGATCTATCACCAAGTAGCAGCTTCATGTCTACAGCATAACATAATGTCCAGATCCATGTTGCCATGTAGAAATACTGTGTCCAAGCCTGCAAATGTATATCACCGATATTAATTATGATTTAAGGAAGATGAGTTAAGTAAAGTATGATATTTTAATCAAATTGACCGATGAAAGTGCACAGAAAACAACACTGGAAGTATCATCCTCCATTGGCATTATAGACTTGAAATTCATCCAGAGTGCTGATCTTATAAATACACCTAGAAGAAAATATAGTTTACTCACAACCATTTTTAATAAACAATACATACTGAGTATCTCATAATACGAAGATATAACATAATGCTTTGGAAACAAGGTCAAATAGTACAAACGTTTAGATTAATCTTTTCAATTATTTCTGTGGATCTAATTCATCTATCAATTTAGGGTCACTCATTATAAAAGACTGTGCTCATTAAGAAGTATTCGAGACTTACCTAATGAAGCTAAAAGATCGGCAATTGCAAGCCATATAATGATTTCTCTGCCTCTGGAAGAGGAAAAACTTTGCCATCGGTGAGGAAGATTAGATGCTTCTCTTGGTAGTATCTGGAAAATAGCTGTTTTAGTGTTTCAGACACAAAACAAAAAAAAAAAGTAATATTTTGCTTACCTGATATATTGCACCCAGGATACCTATCATAGACGAGAGCATGCACACCGAGTTGTATACGTTCGTGTTGAATTCCTGCATGATCACGATCGCCATATCCGTTCTGTTCGAATGATGACAACAGAACGTTTGTATCGTTGGATCAGCCATGTTATGTTTGATTTTGGTTTCTCAAGCATTGATCGAAGGGACGATAAGAAAAGAACTATTGACGATAAGATAATTATTTAACTCATAAACTATCTCACGGATTAGGTCCGGTCATGTAAATTGATGCCGCGGGTTTACCATTGATCGAGTGCAGTTTTATGAGTATTCTCGCGACGTGTTAACGGGGCATTGCTTATTTTTATCTTAAAACGAAGCCGTACCATGCTTTCGGCGCGTTCGGCCTTTTGACGCCATGCCTATCGTTTCACGCTTTAATCACAGACAAGATATAGAATAGACCTAAACATCGAATGTAATTTTTTGTGATATCATTAGGGGCTCTGGAGTCTAGACGAGGTATTCTCATCTGTGGTAGGGATGAATCGATACAAGTAAATACGAGTACATTACTCGATGCTTCATATTATCTCTAATATATAAACATAAACGTATGTATAAACTATATACTGTATACGTAATATAAGTATAGATGATAAATAAATATGTACATACATCTCACACACACGGGGTCTCTTACGTATGCTCCGGGGGTTCTATGACCCCAGTTTCTCACAATACGGGATCTCTTACGATGCTCCGGGGGTTCTAGGGCACCCCTTACGTTCTCAAAATTAAAAAAAAGCCCGGGAAATTGAAGTAACTGGTAGGTGGCGCCATCCACTGGTAACTTCGGGAACTAGATTAATTCTTCATTGCCATCGCTAGATGAAACCACTATTCACGTTTAGTCCACAATTTGTTATTTCATTGAATATTAAAATATTATAACTCTTACAGTGTACTTTAACGATGAGTATCGTTTCAGAGGAAATTAATAAACAATTGGCCACTCACAATTGTATTATTTATTGCAAATTATTCTTATTTATTACATTTCTAATCGTCTTTGCACTAGAAGCAATACCTCTCTTTGATAATTAATGAGATATTAGTGACAACCATACATATTAACAACTGTTGTTCCACAATATCGATCGTAACGATAATAAGGATCGTAACGAATCAGTTGACATCAATGAAACAAATCATAATTTATAAGCGTACTTATAATACTGATTTTAAAGATTCATTTGTCCCATTACTTTGATAAGCTTCACGCAATGCCTGTAAATGAATCGTGCTGTTACTAAAGCATGTCCCTAGCATCTGTTGTGTAGAAATGATAGGGACTTAATCTCAGTATATTTTAATTTAATATTCATTCGCATTACAAAACACTTTTATCACGGTAAAGTTATGTAGTCAGCAGAAATGAACACAAATGTGTATCAAATCTCTATCAAGAAATATTTAATCATATCAGTAAAGAATACTTCGGTGCGTTCTCGTCGTTAAATAATCACCAATTTATATGCAGTTCTGTCCGTTCTTTTATAGCCGCGTTAAATGTTCTGAAGTAAACATGTTACGCGACGAGAAAATTATAATTTTTAATTGTTGTAGAGTGATATGCACTCGCTTGTGATTAAAGAGGAGAAATATGTATAGGATACATACTCCCACTGTTACTGGAAACTGAATATGTATATTGCCAAGAAGGAATGGAATAACGATTACGTACATGTAATTTAAAAAAAAACTGAAAGAACTAACAACGAACGTATATATGAAAAAGATAGGAATGATAACTAATTAATAAAAATTCGGGGATAGATAAACCAAAAAGATTGTTCATATCATACAGCACTGCTTCCTATCAGAAAATGGACTGTGATTGGTTGTGCGAACCCCGTCTCTAGAATGAGGCATTGGAATGGGACGTCTGGCAATCGAATAAAAGGGGAGGGAGGAGTGATTTCGCGCGTTGAACGGATTCCGAATAATTTCGAAGAGATTCGCGAGCCACAGCGTCGTTGTCAAGCGATCGAATATAGAATCGAGCAGACGAGTCCGTCCGTGAAGGCTTGACGAGATGTCCGTCATGGGAAAGGTGAGAACAAATTAATACACTTAATAGATACCGAAGCCGACGTCTTTACCAAATATCTCGCTTTTATTGTTAGCCCTTTATCTCCGAGCGGACCATTCCTGCAATCGTTCGATTAGAATTCGTATACTTCTATGATTGATTTTTCTCTTCATCGTTCTCATAGATTATTCGTTTAGCATTCTTTGTTATCATCGTTTCTTCCTATACGTATTAAATCGAGCTTTGGTATTTTACCGGCCTCGACCAAACCGAATGTATACACCTTTGTCAAAGTGCCGCTTGAAGCCGGTAAACATCGCCAAATTTTTTCTGTATTATTCTATTCTTCTGGTTTTTACCTTTGTTCGTAGCCGGTACTTTACTCCTATTGGCGGAGCTCTTGCTCGTGGAGAGTGCGAATCGGTAAGTGAAAATTATAGTATTCATTAATCTCGAGATTCTCGCATAAATATATTCGCGAATCGTTCCAAATAAGGATGTAATCAAGTATTACCAGAACACTATTTATATTGATTAGTTAGTCGTGAATATAATTATATTATCAGTCTTTGCATTCGTAACTTTTTAATGAGTTGACTTCATGATAATTTAATCTTATATGTTTATACAGCACTAAACTTGAAAGAAATTCCATATGACATAAAACCAGTGAGTTTGATTAAGGGCGGTGGAGAACAACATTCCAATGAGTTTCGTGAGATTAACCCAATGGAGCAGGTGCCTGCACTTCATATTGACAATCATACATTAATAGAGTCTGTGAGTAGAGGAATATTTGTCTGTATTCACCTGTTAATTAAAAACAGTACATGTCATTGAAAACACATTTATTACAGTTGAATATCTTGCAATATTTGGAAGAGACTAGACCACATCGACCTTTAATGCCTGCGGATCCTGTGAAAAGAGCCAGAGTCAGAGAAATTTGTGAAGTGATCGCTAGTGGTATTCAACCTTTGCAAAATTTGGTTGTGTTGATCTATGTTGGAGAGGAACGTAAAAAAGAGTGGGCACAACACTGGATTACCAGAGGATTAACAGGTAATAATGGAAATAGATAAATAACTAGAAGCACAATAATTACTAAAATTATTATATTGCAGCTGTAGAAAAATTACTTTCGTCGAGTGCAGGAAAATACTGTGTGGGCGATGAGATCACATTAGCAGACTGTTGTTTGATACCACAGATATTTAATGCGAGGAGGTTTCTTGTTGATCTCAGACCTTTCCCAACTATTTTGAGGGTAGATCGTCACTTAGAAAATCATCCAGCATTTACTGCTGCTCACCCAAATAATCAGCCTGATTGTCCTCCAGAGGCGACCAAGTAGCAAGCAAGGCAGACCACCCTCTTCCTTTTCTAATCTTTTAGAATTAAGAAGAGAGGTGGTCCAATAATTGATGGTTCTATAGTGATAAAAGGTGATACAATCTTAATTTTATTGCAATAACATACGATTATGTTACAATTTCGATAATAATTATCGTTTATATTTTAAGAAATTCGTTATATTTTTTAACGATTACATTACATATTCGTAAGTTCGATGAAATTGTGATCCGATATCAATCATGTGTTTGAATATCGTTTTTAATATTGTCGTTTGTCTTTTTATGTGTTTATAGGACAAATATACACCTTTTATCACTTACGACCTAGATTTAAGTATCGAAATGGTCAACAGTGTAAAGTAGAGTGTTCAACTCTATAATAACTTCCAGTCATAAGATCGAACAACGCGTTGTGCCATCTAATCCAAAAGGAGAGAAAACACTGTGCCATTTTTGTACTTACTCAGATGATAGGAATGTTGGCCTATTTTTAATTTTGTTATGTTTTTCCATTGGTTTATACGCACAATCAAAATTAACAAGAAATTCGTCTCTCGTTCAGTACTTACATATTACTTTGTAAAGTGTATCGACCTATTATAAATAGGTTCTGTTGTCTGAAATCAAAAGTTTACTTTTTATACTTATGATAATATAATTTTTCGATTACTTTTAGCTTACATAGACTAAGGAGAAGTGTTGCTATTAAATGATATTAGATAATGACTTAAAATTCTTTACCAAGTATATGAAGTAGCAGATCTGAACATCGCAGTAAGCACGCATAATATTCACGTACACCGATCGAAATAAGAAAAAAAAAAAAAGGAAACGTGTAATAAGGCAATGCAATCTGCTCAAACTCCATACAAAGTACTGAGGAATGAAAAGTACAAATCAAATTCCATTTCTAAAGCTTTCATCCATTGGGTACATTTCATTTCTCCCTGGAAATTATATAAATCCACGAGTATGCGTTAGAAATACTAGATACAATGTAACACTCGGATTTCGCATATTTTTTAGCTTTAAAAGATAAGAAGGTGTGCTCGACGTTGATACCCAACAGAGATCTCTAACATGTACCTCAATCGTTATGGAACACGATGATTCCTCTTAAGCATTCCATATGATCTATCCAATGAGACTAAAGAAAAAGGGTAGAAGGGAGAAGCTACAATGAAAGTTTGTACTCGAAAATTTTCTTAGATGTATTCGTAATTTTCAATCTTGAGCACACTTTAATACTTTTCGCTGTATTTTTTGCGAGACATAATCTTATATAGAGATACATTTTTTATCGTATCGCCTATATTATATAACGTCTATATATTTTGTAGTTTTATACACGAACAATACGTTTTATGCGCGACAGAGACAACTGAATTACGGTATCAAGACATTGTCAGTGATTCGATCTATTGGCATTGTTCCTTATTGCCGGGTTCCTCCTTGCCGTAATGGTTTTTCGCAAGAGTAAAGATTAAATCGTTGATCCGTGACGACGTCACGGTATCGGAATCGATAGCTTCCATAGTCATTCGGGTGGATTCACCTTTTCGAATTCTATTATTACGAATTGATTAAGGAATGACCGTCACTGCAGGTGAATAGCGGAGGGGTATTTGTTTGCATGCTTCTTCCACCAGGCGACTAGGAATTGTTATAATTTATACTATGCGAAGAAGAATGACAGAGTTATACATTTCGTACTGAGATGCGTGCATCATACAAGTGAGCGACTAGATAATAATGTATATATAATTTTTATACAAGACGTTCGAATGTTGCATGCAGAAAGAGAGAGAGAGAGAGAGACACAGCTGGAGTCACGATCATGAACAAAAAAAAAAAGGCTGTTCGTATTATTTTGGACAACAGTATCGCACGTCATACATACATATATGATAGAGTTTATAGAGGGCACAGGAAGGAATGCAAACAAGTGACACCCTTCGAGCGTAATCTCGCACAAAACGATTCTTTTCTATGTCGATTCTTTACTATGAGGCGTGGCATATTGTTTATTATACGATCAACACGATCGAACTCGAGGTCGTTTAACGACACGTGCCCTGAGGTGGACAGTTTTTTTATTATTCTGTTTTTTCTTTTTTGTTACTGTTTTTGTAATTGAATAACGAGAAATGGATAATTTTTTTTTTTTTTAGGAAATAATTACCTTCGAAGCAAGGTAGTGAGTGACGTTGGAAAAAATAAAAAAGAAATTGGTAATGTTCGTAAGAAGTATTATACTTACTGGCTTGTCGTAAGTTTGTCAAATTCCGTGAAAGCGTGACTTAAGTAAATTCTCCATTTCTCTGCACAATGCTTTCCGTTTAACGGGGAACCGATAGCTACTTTTAGCGTACACGCTGCTTTTTCACTAATTATCTTGTTCGCAGAGACAGACACGGGAAAGCCCGAAGCAGGAAAGTACGTAATGCGATGGAAAAGTCGTTGGTTTGGTAGCCGTGACACTGTGTGTCGGTAACCAGAGAGCAGGGACCGATCACTTTTTACAGGTCTCGCGAATTAAGGGCAATAATGGATTAACCAGTTCAGACAGTTCATTTTACCGACGGTCCTAAGTAGAGTTTAGTTAAGTAGTGGCGCGTATCATTTGTAAAAGGATGCGTGTGAGAGAAACGTTGTAGAGGTAACGAGATTGCGAGTATGTATAATAATAACAGTTAAACGGATAGATACTTAAAGAAACGAAACCTTGACAGGAACGGAACGCAGAGACCGGTAATGATACGCATAGATATTTTGTAAGTGAAAATTGAATTATGTACGTTCACTGCTTACGAGGAATAATAAATTCTGTGTCATAGTGTATGTATGTTAATTTCGTAGTTCGCGACGCTGAAACGTTATCCAACAGCTCTATAGGTACATTTCGTGAGTGTGCACTTGTCGTTCGAATAAAAAGTACGTTTCGATCGTAGCCGTACCCAGTTATTATCAACGGGGATATCTTAACCGGTTCTATCTCTACTGGGAGCGAATCACATTTGAATTCTGAAGACAATTTTTTTCTTCTTCTGTGGATACCTTAGGTCAGTCGTGTTTAAGACGATTACTGGGATTGGGATAAAAGTATAGCTACTACTATACTCCCTCTTACTACAGGGGGATTTCAATTACTAAAATCTTTTACTCTCGTTATAGATACCTTATAGTAAACCTTGAGAAAACTGTAGTAGTCGAAGCAGAAAAAAGATCGTGATTATTTTATTTTTGAGCCGTGAGCCGTGCTAGTGGCGACCACCATTTTGTAACAGACAAGATTCGATGTTTCCGCTTCGAGTGTATCCGGAAGTCCCGAGAACAGTCTCGAGTATTTGAACTTTACTATATCTTGATTTACAATTACATCGGAGAAGTGGATGCGAACGATCACGGAAATGAGAAAACAAAATATGAGACTTAATAATTAATTCCAACTTACCCGGTAAACGGACGTTCGGTACGGACTTTCCTCCGTATACCGTGAAATATTTACGACTGAAACAAATCTGCATAGTCCGTAAAACGTTTTCTTTTTGTTTTTTCGGTGAAACGACATTCGAGAGGAGCAAAAGAACGTCCGATTCGCTTCCCGAGAATACTGTGTGTCGAAGAAACTTTTATATACAATTTCATTCCAATTTCCGTCGGAACTCGATGTTTGTTGTTTCGTTTATCAATGTCTTTATTACAAATCCATCGTGTAAAAAAATACATTCCCTTATCCTATACTGACTAGTTAGAACGGCACCTTTTTTTTTTCTCTCTCTTTTTATATTCTCTTTTAGTTTTGTACGCCAGAGAGCTTTGTACACCGATGGAATGCACGCGAATTACCGTATACCGGTGTGTTTCCAGCTGATATGCTATACCGAACGCGGGGTACACGCAACATGGATCAACAACCAACAACAACAACGATAACGGGGGCGCAACCAACCGCCGCGGATACTGTAAAATGTAACCTGAGTCAGCCAACGAGTTGTACAATCGAACGATGGCCACATTAATTATTAATCGAATTCTAATGTACCTCCGCGTTCTTCTGTTTCTTTTGTTTCTTTCTTTAATCGAAATACTGCACCTAGAACAGATTGCTGTCGCGCTCGTTTAACTCGTCCTTGATCACCAGAGACGAGATAAACGAGAAACAAGGTACTATGTATATACACTTGGTATCACATACAAAACGCATTTTTGTTCTGTTTTGTTCCTTCCTTTCGTCTCTTTCTCGTATACGCGTCTATATAACATATACGCACAGTTTATATACAAAAAATACTTACAAACTAATCGGAATTCGTCGGTTCTCTCCTATATATTATATATACAAATACACGCAAGGCTAAACCGTTTTCATAAAAAAAAAAAAAAAAAAAAAAAAAAAAAAAAAAAAAAAAAAAAAAAAAAAAAAAAAAAAAAAGAAAAAACGCTTCCAGCTTGTCGCATGTGAGGTTTTTCGATCGAAATTCGGAAGGTTTCGCCCGCGGGGCGATCGGGGGCAATCTTCCAAATTTCGATGAAATTACAATTTGCATAGGAGCCTTAGTTGGAGAGAGATATTGAAAAAAAAAAGATAGATGCTCGAAGATGGAGAGGGCATGGAAATCCCGCGATGAAACTCGAAGTAATATCTCGGTGAATGAGAGAGAGAGACAGAGAGTAGAAAAATAGATAGAGAGAGAGAGAGAGACAGAGAATATATGCGTATGATGATCATACAGCGACACTGAAACAGACAAATGGATGGATCGATGGACCAGATGGATGGACTAGTGTGTGGCCAGGTCATGAAATGAAGAACAACAGAATGCATTTAATGAGCGATTGTTTATTATGCTCTTATGGTCACTTGTCATACAGGTAACGATGCTTTCTCATGAGTGAAAATAGTTAATATATTATGTTTTCTTTTTCCCTCGAAATTATTTCTTTTTTTTTTTTTTTT